TTTATCTTCTTTTCTTTACTTCTTTCCCATTTAGATTTCTAACCTCCACATGGTCCTTGGTTTAAGAGCACGACCTTTAGGGTTAACGGTAAAGAAGATCAACACTTTATCCGTGTTCAGCCAGTTCGGAACAAAATTTTCTTCTCTCGCTCTGACTTCATCAGTGGGCAACACAAGCCACACTAGACATAGCCAGTTTACACTCATCGACCTAGGATAAAGGATAAAGCGATAACGCTCTTGGCGTTCACCAATCCCTGAGGAATGCGCCATGCATTCGACTTCATAGAGCATAGTTTGGAGGTGATTGAATGCATATCTGGCCTTTTACAATGATTCGCAGTGGCCTACTGATGTATCAAGCCAGTGCTGCTACTCTTTCAGAGAAGTCTGGCACCAATTTGCCCAAAAAATGCGATGGAAGGCTTGGCGAGCCATGAATGCGGGGATCGATTCCACCGACGTAAGATGTTTTTCGTATATAAAAATCGGTACACCAATAACAGAAAGAATAATCAATGTTGTGAATTCTATCCTTCATTCCTGACGTGAAGATAGTTGGTCTTTTCATGCCGAAATTGATCCTTTGCATCAAATCGTTCATTCCTTTAATTCAACCAAAGTAGAAAATTTAAAATTTTTGTTACCTCTTGGTGGCCCTGTTTTCATCTTACGACTAGAAACTCAAAAATTATAGTTGTTTTTGTTTGATGCAGATTTATATTAAAACTACTCACGTTTTGGTTTAGTTTTTGCCGCCTTCACTTTCTTTGCCTTAATGAGGATTTTGTACTTTAGAGTATGCGGTGACGGTAAGGGCTGGTCTTCAACTAGCTGGAATCAGCATCGAATAATTTTCCTCACCGACCTAGGCTTTATGTTTAGCTTAACAAATGGAAAATTCTACTCTTTTTGCAACCATAGTTTTAAGGTATTTCGGCCCCCACACCTTCCATGAGCGGTCGGTCATTTTTTTTCATCCCCACTTTCGCTTCTTTCGCTTTCGGCTTCGGTTTTAATATCGTCGCCGAATCAACTAGGAGTAAAACCAAACGATCAAATCTTTGCTGAAAGATACTTCTTTTAGATCCACATCACGGTGAAGACCTGAAAAAGGCCACCCACAGCAACCTGCAAACTGAGTGCTTACGTCTATGACGTCAGGCGGTGTGACGACTGTTCAGAGGCCAAAAATTCTCGGGTTACGCAAGCCGCCACTGGAAGCGGATCTAACCAATACATGCGCGACACACCATGGAGATTATTTTTTACTCCATACTTACAATAGCGGTACTGTCCTCAGGTCCTTAGGCGCCAATCCTCACACCTTTCTTGAAGCCGCAAATCTCATCAAAGTTCATGTTACTGCACTACAAAAATCGAGAAGCAGGAAGACCGACATATGCCAAATAAACATCAAGACACTTGTCATCAGCGGAGAAAGGGTCCTATCACGAAATGTCGGCGACGTAGACTTTGTCGTCCACCCAGCCACTGTCCATCTGGTCGACTCACTCGAGATCCTTTCTCCTCGCATAACCGTCCTCCGTCTTCCAATGATGCGTTGTAAGGAGATCACAGTCATCAACTGCTACTCATCACCGGCGCGGCTGATCAGTACGAATTAGATGCGTTTTACTATCAGTTGGAGGAAGTTATGAGCAATGATAAAGCATATCATAAATTTGTTTTCGGAAACTCTAACGCCAAAATAGGAAGTTTCAGCGAGACAGAATAGCAGGACTCCTGTTTGCAGCACGCCTATTCCATGGAAACCAGTTTTTCCAGAAGGAGAAAGCCGCCGATGAACATGGGAGTCTCCTAACGGCGCGTCTAATGCCAGCTCAACAATATTCTGGCGAACAGAAAATGATGCCTACTTGATACATAAGTAATCTAGCCTTTTTGTACTGAATCCGGTCACAACCTTCTTGGCGCGAAGAATCGATTAACCCATAAGCTGTAAAAGAATCCATACCGTCAAGCACGAAGAAAAAGTCTATTCGTATACGACGAAAACATTTTGAACGAAGTCCTACCCAAACGTGACTGGCAGATTAAAGAAGACATGACCGAAGACTACGAGCTGCTTGTCGAAGGACTGAAAAACTGTTCCGAATTCGCCTCAGTTCCTAAAGCAAGAAGATCGGATCGAATCTCCATCACTGCTAAGGAGTTGCTCGAAAAGAGAAGGAAACTGAAGCTTGATCCTACTGCAACACGTTTAACATGGCTGGTAAGAAATACCAGCTAAAGAAGAGCTCTGCAGAAAGATCTACAACGGTACAAGCAGAAAAAAATACTGGAAGCAGCAGAAAAAAGAAGCAGTCTGAAAAATGCCGTCGGGATTTACGTGATTATAATGCTATGCTGTCAGCACTGATGAACGAAGATGAGATCACAAGGTTTAACGTTTTGTTTTCTACCTTCTATAATTTTCATGGCAGATTACTAAGCGAAATACAACCACAACGTTGCTGAGATATTTGCAAAACTCTTCCCACCCGCTGACGGGTGATTATTGTGACAAAAAGAACGATAGAAATAGCTGAGAGACAGGCGAAACGAAGGACCCGCATGGTGTGGTGGTGAACGCGATACTCCCCGGAAAAGACAATAGCATGTTCGTTCCCCATCATAGAAAGCGCTGCGGTCCAGAAGATGAGATCGTCAAAACTTTTCGCCATGATATGGAATTAATAGCGGAAATGTTCTACACCAACCTTTTTCGTTCCACAATCCCCGTAGCGGGCCCTAATATCTCTGCTGGAGAAAAACCACCTGGAATTCCTCCGTCGGGGGTTCGAGTTACGATAGAAAGCATGAAAAGAGGCACAGCACCAGGACCCGATAATATCGCTGCCGTTTTCCTTAGAGCCGGAGGCCACAATTTACATCTACTTCTCGTAGATCATATGACAGGCTACCTTCAAATGGAGAAAATCCCAGACCAGTGGGGGATGTCGCGCACGGTCATTCTGCCCAAGAAAGGAGACCGATAGAATCTTCGTAACTATCGTCCCACATGATTGTTAAGTGTACTCTACAAGCTCTTCACGAAGATTATCCCTCTCGCGCATATCGAAGACATTGGATGAGGCGCAACCAGTGGAGCAAGCAGGATTTCGACAAGAGTTTTGCTGCATGGACCTCATTCAAACTGTGTCCATGGTCATCGAAGTTTGTCGGAAGTACCATCTGCGCTAGTCCTAGCCTGTGTGGACTATGAGAAAGCGTTTGACAGTGTCGAAACGAATGCAATCCTATCAGCGCTCGTCGACCAAGGAGTGCAGCCGTCCTACATAAGGACTCTGTCCGACTGTTATCGGAACTGCACTACAAGAATGCAGCTTTTCCATCGACCTCTTACAGCACCCATAGGAAAAGGGGTTTGGCAGGGCGACACAATATTGCCAAAGTTGTTCAATGCCGCACTGCAGTGGATAATGAAGCCACTCGATTGAGATGAGAAAGGCATGCGTATTGATGGAAAATTCCTATCAAACCTTTGTTTTGACAACGACATTGTCATCTTCTCAAGAAGGACTAGCGAAGGAGAGATGATGATCAACGAACTCAACGAAGCGTGCAAAAAGGTCGGATTGCGCATAAATCGAAAGAAGACCCAGTTTATGAAAAACCCATGGTTCCAAGGCGAAAAAATTGAATTGGATGCCTCTCTCATTGCAGAGACCACTTCGTACGTATACCTTGGGCGATCAATGATCATGGAAAACAACATAGAGGAAGAACAACAACAACAACAACAACAACAACAACATAGAAAAAATAAGAACAAAACAACATAGAGAAGAAACTAGATAAAAAAGGGAGAGCAGCTTGGGCTGCATTCAGGCTTCTCAAGGAAGCCACCGACCAACTGAAAGGCCCGAAAATCCGCCCTCATCGCTTTAATTCTACGCTCGTCCTAGCGCTCTCTTATGCTGCAGAGACGTCGGTTGATACTTCAACTACGTCAAGAATGCTTCGCACTACTCACAGAGCGTTTGAGCAATGTCTTCTGAAATGTAACCGGCACTTTCAATATGTAACCGGAATGCGAAGCTCTGACCTTCGAAATCTGTCACATCTTCGAGATCCAGGAGAATATACATCGACAGCGAAACACAGATGGGCCGGTCACATAATGAGAAGAACAGACGACAGATGGACGAAAAGTACAGTGGAGTGGACTCCAAGAGAATGCAAACGCTCTTTACGACAGCCATCTACACGTTGGGTGTGTTCGTAAACAAAGTTAATCGGCTGTACCCGCAGCTGCAGTTGTTTTTACAGATCACGGTAATAGACTCGCAAGCGCTACTATGTTCGAACAAAGCCACCACCATGGACCACGATTGCGAGAAAAAGGAACGAATGGCATATGTGCTGGGGTCCGCACAGCTCGTGAAGACGGACCGTTCAAGTGTCCAAGTGAGTAATGGGGTTAATCGATTGGGACGAGAAGGGCATACGTTTTGATAGAAATTTTCTGTCAAACCTTCGCTTCGCCAACGACATCGTCATTTTCTCAGGAAGAACCAATGAATCAGAGACGATGATCAGTGAGCTCAACGAAGTGGAAAGAAAGATCTGACTACGCATAAGTCGGGAGAACACCCATTTCATGAAAAGCCTATGAGGTCTAAGCGATCAGATCAAAGTGGGTGGTTCTCTAATTGCAGTGACCACTTGGTGCGTATATCTTAGGCGACCATTGAACATGCAGAACAATATGGAGGAGTAAGACAAAAAACGAGAGCACCTGGGTCGCATTCGGGCATCTCAAAGAAACTACCGACCAACTGAAGGACCCGAAAATCCGCGCTCACCTTTTTGATTCAATAGTCCTTCCACCGCACTGTTATGGTGCAGAGATGTGGGCTGATACTTCAACCATGTCAAGCGCTTGAGCCATGTCTTCGAAATATAACCAGCACACGCAATATCCAGCTAAAATGGGAAACTCTGATCATCGAAATCTATCTCATCTTCGTGACTTAAGAGAACGCACATCGATAGCGGATCATAGATGGGTCGGTCATAAAACTGTAGAGTGGACTCCGAAATGACGCAGACGTCCACAAGGACGGCCATCTACACGTCGGGCGGACTTGTTCGTAACAAAGGTTACAAAGCTGTACTCGCAGCTGCAGTTGTTTTATTTTACAGATCACGCCATGAGACACGCACCCAGCGCCATGCTCGAATAAAATCACCAGCATGGACGAAGATAGCGAGGGAAAGAAACGAATGGCAAATGCATGTACTGGGGTCAGCACAACTCATGAGAACAGATCGTCCAAGTAAGTAAATAAGCAAAGTTTTAACCTCGAGGCTAGATATATCTTTACATATTGCTTTCATTTTTAATAGATATTCGTTTGCATATACAGGTACTGTTCTTAACTACACCATGCATAAATTGCTGCTGCAGTGATATTTTAGCTATTTTTACAGATCTCCTTGATGCTAGGCAGTTCAAGCTAGGTAGTCTTGGGGTGGGTGGACCTTCTACAGATGACTAACGCGGGTTTAACCAAAAACAAAAATGGATAGGTAATATCTTTAAAGGCAAAATATTTATAGGAATGGGTCCCCTAACTCTTCTGCACCTGACGGATGACGAAAAGACAACAATCGAGTGATCGGAAGAAAGTGGTGCAATTCAATGGTACTGGTGGCACCATAGTAGCAGAGTCTGCAGAGACGTTTCGAAATATATAAGAAAAAGGTACAGAAAATTTTGCACACTTTTCTTCCTTGATGAAAGACACCATACCGGATGGCTTTCCAGTGGATCAACGAGAAGTTTCGATCCGAAGGCTTCCCTGAATATCTGCACCATTTCCTTCTGTTGTTGCTGGCACAGATGATTTTCGATTGACAGTACAACCGGATACGGCGACGTTTTGAAAGCGCACTCAGCGATCGCGGAGCAGACTGCCTGAAATCTATCTACTGAAAACAAACGCAAGCCTACTTTTCATTTCTACCAATGACTTACACAACCCTAACCTATGACGTAAAGAAATTTTTATTTTTTGCAACTTATTTAGCGCATATACATCTAATGTGCAGACCTGAGGACTACCTGCTTTTGATTCGTTTCGTCAAACTTTTTTTTGCCCAAGAAGGGATTCAAACTTTTCACGTTTTCACAAGGCAGCTGCATGACAATCTTCGTCTTGTTCACAAATTTCGTTGAATGTTGGTGGAGTAGATTGTTCTGAGCCCTAGTATGGCCTTGCCAGAGTGTTCCCAATCGAATTCAAATGAGTTAACAGTTCCCGAAGAATTTCACGATCTGAGACGGAAGAGAAGCTTAGTGAGCACGGTGTGGACAGCATCATCGTCGTTGCGAACAGCGTCACCACCACTGACCCTACTGCCCCTTATGAAAACAATTCTATATTATAACATGGAAAGCTCAGAACGTTCAGTACTCTTGCACGTTGCAATAAAATTTTATTACTATTTCACAAAATCTCGTAGGAAAGACTAACTTTTTCAATCAATAAGGAAATCTATTTCTGACAATCAGCTGGTAACTTCATTAGCACATATTAGCTTCATAGGTGAGGTATGGCGTTTTACACTGGGAATAACTCTTAAGTTCGAAGAAAACAACCCTTTGTCTTACAGCAGAATTCATTGATTTCATCTGTATATTCCCCTCAATCTGGAAGATAACAGCACCACCAACAGATCAAATTTAGCGCTTTCGGTCTAGAATACAGAAAATTCCAAGACCAACTTCCCTTTAACCTCGGCATTGTTTGCTAATTCATGGGTTTTTTTATGAGCGAACAAAATGTTATTATAGTACCTATTCACACACAATAGCTAGTGTTTTTGCGGATTTCGCTTTGTTCAAAGAATGGAAATGTCAAATTAATACGCAATCTATTTAATGCTAACTTTTTATTTCTTGCCTACTACGGTTTTTCACGGCGAGATATGATGCGAAATACAAGCATGCACAGAGCTGAGATATTTGCAAAACTCGGGTCAGCAGGTGTCTGCGGTGAGGAAGGAACTCACTGTTATCCTTTTCGTGGGATAATGCGTTTACCACCGCACCATGCGAGTCTTCGCTTCGCCTCTCTCTCAGCTAGTTCTATGTCCGGAGTTTTGCAAATATCTCAGCATCATTGTGGTTGCAATCTACTTACTCAAACACTCTCGTAACCTTATCGGGTAAAGCTTAATACATAAATCTTCAACCGTATAATAAATAGCTTTCCCAACACTCAATTCCTTATAAGCCTTCCAGTTATTTGATAGAGACCAGCCGCAGAGAGCCTTACATCAGTGAGGAATGTGCCTACAATCAGCCTGAGGGATGGCTCGAGATCACGCACCACAAGGAACACCTCTCTGCGGTTCATTACCGAATTTCTGAAATTTACGTAACGTTTATGTCCTCACTCATGTAAGATTCTGTGAAGATGGTCTCCAACAAACAGCTGTAACGCTCGCAAAAAACAAAACAATGTGTAAAATTCAAAACGTTCGTTGGGTTTCGATCCCGCGACTACCCCTTACGTGGGCTCACGCGTCATCTACCACACCAACTGGGGTCCTTACTTTGCATTTCTTTAAGCCAGTTTTTTTACTCTAGCGCTACAATAGCTTACTACGAGGTTAAAAATTTAGCTGTTAACTTTTCTGCATTGAGGTTGCGAAAGTGTTTAACTGAGTACACTGCGTGTTAGTTTGACTTTTCCAGGCTCCGAAAAAGAAACTGCCGAAACATCGCTCAGTATTATACTGAGCGAATGCTGTAAGGTCAACCTCGTGTTTTCCCTCAAGAAAACAACGAATTATGAATCCAGGATGGTTTCCGCCATTCGTTTTCGCCTTGATTCATAAAATGACTTCATTTCAAATAAATATTATCTCGATGATAAATTTGGATGTAAGCGCTTCTAAGCCAAAATCTACGCCTTTCAACTGTCCATATTCTATTGAAATTAGTCTCCACCTGTAAATTTTACACTAATTCCTCCTGTATTCTGGTTTTGTCCCACAATAACAGTTCATAACTCTTTACTTGATAACGGAAGACTAAGCGTCTTCATTTAAGCCGATAAGAGTCTTTGGAAATACATTTGATTACATTTTAGCACTGCTGATATTTATAACACATTCAGAAAACAATGAAAAAAATAAAATTGTAATATTCAATGTATGCAGGTGAGCAGAGGGCATTATTTTATAATAATAGTTACATACATATGCATATATATACAATTAAAAAGCGGATAGTGCAGTGCTAGTGATGCTGATCATTACAAGCACGGTACTGGTTCGATTTAGTCCCAGGCTCAACAAGTCTCTCATCTCGCCGGGGCCAAGAAATTAGTACGGGACTTTTCCGGGAAAAAGTCACACCCTATAATCCAAGTGGAGATGCTCTAGTCCAGCTATCTCAGCACTCCAAGATGAATCGACTCGAATAGCATTCAACGAAATTCATGATGAAAGATGATGCATCCTCAAACAGCACCCGAAGTCAAATTTCAAAGTTGGAAGATCTTGTGGATAAGGGATGCCAGGAAACGAATCGAATATGATAATAGCCGAGGCTCAGCACATCAGACGTGAAAACGGGTATGAAATAAATAAAATTATATATACGTATACAAATATATATAGGGTTTCATTTTCAGTAATGCGGTTTTACGCCGCGTATAAAGGATAGAAAGTGGAATTTTGTGGAATAACGAAAAGACTTGAACAAAGGACTGGTGTTCTCCAGTGGGAAATATGTCTCATGATATATTTCATAGCCGTTGTTCTTTGTAATTTTTCCGTCATTGATGTTGCGCTAAATAGGAATGTCATTTTCCACTACTTTTCTTCCGTTCAATGTTCAATTTAAGCTTTCTTACATCACAGCAAAAACAGAAAGAATTTTCCTACTACTTTTTCTTGTTCCTTGTTCTTTTGTTTGTATGGCTCTTCTCGTGCATCTTCTTTGCCGATCCCACCACTTGCAGTCGATTCGTTTTCTCGCTCCTGTCATCCACGATGGTGTTCCAACTTATTGTGTGTGGCTTCGGCTTATACTTGAGTATTTCCCTTACCATTAATGTCGTTGAATGCTGGTCAAGTCGACTGTCCTTAGATGCTTGAAATAGCCGAAAAAGAACGTCCCTACTTGGACTGCAGACAGCAGGTCCGGCACCAATTTCCCTACCACGAAGCTATGAGACCTTTGGTGAACTCTGAGCGAGATCGGACCAATAGCGTGCTCATGGTGATCGGCATCATTACCACTGAGCTACCAGAACTCTCTACAAAACCCATCTTCACAAAATGGAAGCCTAGAACTTCATAAGATATTAGGCCACCCAATAAGAGATGCCAGGGAGATGTAAGCAATTTGACTCGCTTCTGATCACCCATACTCAGAAAAAGTATAATCACATCATATCCAAAGCATAAATCAAACCCATTAATCCGTAAAGCAAACAACATCTGACCTTTAACGGGATCTCGTTCATCCGCATAACTGCCGACGGTCCATGAGTAACGACTGGCCCGTCAGATCCATCCCAACAATCCAATTCGACACATCTACATCCAGAAAGAAGTACCTGAAACTATTTTAAATTATACGAATCAACGTTATTTACAACTTTTGTTAAATCTAAAGCATAGCGCTCTTCAAACAAAACAAGGACAGAAAATACTAGAACATTCGCAATTCTACTACGATTCCACGTGATGTGAGCGGCACCAAAAGTAGCTGCCTTTAATGGTACAAAGAACAAAACTTTTACAGAAGAACAAGTATCAACGTCAATCATGGATTAAGGAAACAGTGACGTTCTGAAAACATCGAACGTTCCATAGAAAAAAAATTTGTTGCTGCCTTCGTTTAATCCATATCGTGTTGTAATGGCTGTACCACCGTTATTAATCAGTCGGTTGACTAATCGCAGGAATTTCTACTACTCCAATAACTGCTGCTATTCTGCGAGAATTTCAGCAGAAAGAAAGCAAATCTCTTCCAGTAAAAACCTCAGAATGCCTTAGCACCACTTTCTTGCACCTCAAGCAAAAACTGGGTTTGACCAACGCTCAGCATGAAAAATAAAAAAGCAGAATATAAGTCTTCATTTTGCAAGCGAACACGCATAGGAACAAATCGATGACTAAGCGAATGGAAAAAGTGCTTGGGCACGATCCACATCTGACGACGGACCGTACAAATAAATAACTATCTACTTACTACGTAACAATCTATGCTTTCTAAACGACAAAAAAACGTTATAGATAGAAAAATAACGAAGTAAGTAATTTCGTCTTTACATGCCTGCCTGTATATCTCAACGTCTGCAATTGCTTCCTTATGACTAGACGATGGAAACAGTTGCGCACCTCTAACTTGAAGACCTGAAGAATAACTTATTCGGAGAGAAGCAATTGCAATAACTCTATTTCCATTCTTGTATTAACAAAATCATAAACCCCTTCACTAACTGAACCCTCACAGAGTGAGTAGATTTTAATGTTTGTTCTACAAACACACTTTAACTCACCCGTACAGTAAGTATTATGCGATGAATTGATGAAGTAATGAGGCAGCGGCTCGTGCATCGTATCGGCTACTGGATTTTAGTGAAAATTAAATAGAAGAAAAAAAGGAACAAAAGAACAAATAAAACGTGCTAAAAATTTGGCTATATAAATAGGAAGTATTTGAGACCTTCAGCTTCTCTACTAATTAGTAACACTATCTGTATAACCACAACGATGCTAAGATATTTACAAAACCTGGACCCAGTCTCAGATCGAACCACGATTACCCTTTCCGTGAGTCCGTGTATTACACACTGCGCTATTAAGGCCCTTGTTTTGCTTTTCTCTCAGCTGGTATTCAACCTTACACTGCCATCAGCAATCACCCGTCAGCAGATTGATCTGGGGAGTACAAATCGGCATTGAACCCAGTTAATCTGAGGCTGTACGAAATCACAATGTCAACCTTTTATTTGCTGCCTGTGATAATTTTATACAGGAGCCCGGGAAAGGGTAACCGTGGTTTGAACTGGCGTGAGATCCAAGTTTTGCGAATATCTCAGCATCGTTGTGGTTGTATTTCACATCGTACCTTGCCGTGAAAAACAATAGTAGGCGCAAATAAAAATACAAATGCAAACAAATAAAAGGTTAAATATTTGTATAGTTTCCAGGATCGACTTTTATTAACTTCGGCAATGGATTATAACTGCGTCTTTTCTTGTTTAGCAGTCACGAGGTTGTTATACAGCAGACATTTACTTCCTTACAAAAACACATTTAACACAATAGTAACTGAAGTTTCGTCAGCATCGCGTTCTTCAGAGCCTGGAAGGGTACATTGATACCCAATTTACTACGCCAAACGCTTTAATAACACTTACGAAGGGACGAAAATTTATGTGGAAGTCGAATGGTCAACAGCTTCTCGAGAAACCCACCGTTTTTTACATGTCTTCCACTTAGAAAGAACAGCTGATTAGAGTCGTATAAAAACATGGAGAAATGCCTAGAGGTCATACGCTATCTGGCCCCATAACTTCGCTTCAATTTCTGATGTGGGATGGTCATCATTTCTGATGTGGGATGGTGTGGGTCATCAACCATACGCGATTCTAAGCGGCTGTTCTTCCTTGGTGGAAGACAGATGAAAAACGGTGGGCTTTTCGAAGAGCCGGTGATCGTGTAATTATTGTTCAGACTTTTATCTTTCTGTCTGCACTATTGAAGCCTTTGGCCTAGTAAATCGTATATCAGTATACCCCTCCAGGTTCTGAAGAGGGCGACACTGCCGAAGCGTTGGCTACTGTTGTTTTACGTGTTCTTTATATGGAAATAAATGTATTCTGTATGGCAACCTACCGATTGCTGAACAAGAAAACGACGCTGTATAAGCAATACTTACATATCATTACCTAAATACTAAAATAGAACGGGTTTAAAAGCATGAAAAAAAACCACATTTTAGTTTAAATGGACCATCTTAACAACAAAGCGTAGTATTATTTCGAAACCGACTTTCCTTGAACCTCGGTATCACCAATCAATATGTATTCTTTCTTTTATGAGCTTGCACGAGGTTGATAATTATGTTTATTTCCAGCTAACGTTTCGACGTTTTCCTCTTCCTCAGAGCCGATGATCCGAGTCGATGGTCCACGCTTGTTATTCGTCTCGACGTGGCAGCTTCGCCTTCGTGTCGAGTCAGGTCTTCCTCAGTGGGCCATCCCCTCAAATGAGGCATACTCACTCGGTGATGCCCTATTAAGTATTACTACGCTTTGTGCTAGCTGATAATAACACCGACTTCTGCCGATTTGACTGTCCGGGAAAAACAAGTTACTATCACACTATCACCGGACAGTCACAGCTATCCACCAACAGCAACCTGCCTAAAATGGCATCACTGAGTGAGGTTGCCTCATTCGAGGAGATGGCCTACTGAGGAAGACCTGACTCGACACGAAGGTGAAGCTGCCACGTCGAGACGAATAACAAGCATGGTCCATCGACTCGGATCATCGGCTCTGAGGAAGACGAAGACGTCGAAACTTTAGCCGAAAATAAATTATTAATCAATCAACAATTATCAGTCTCGTGTAAGCTCATCAAAGAAAGAATACATCTTAATAACGTTAAAAGCAGAGTCTTAAAATTTATGAAAGAAAAAGGAAAAAGGAAAGGAATGGAAAAGAGTTGATGAACAGATTTTTCTCAGTGACCGAAACATTTTCATGAAGTGCATTCATAAGTACTCGTTTATCTATAACAAATGGAAATTCCATTCATATTATGTGAGAAATCGAGAAATCTTGTTAATACCAACGCCTTCTTGCAGAGCTTCTGCCGAATTCCGATGTATCAATATAGTTCTTACCTTGATCTTGAGTGATATTCGGTGAGTCGATACAGTAATCACTCCAAAGGTAGTGAACGAAAGTCTCGAACGAAATATCGTTTCCTAAATTGGTTCCCACTTGGCTTGTTTTTGTTTTCACCCATTTTTCTTCGCTCTTTTCAGTTACTCTTTCTTTTGTGATAGGGAAAACCGAAATGTCACATTGCGGAATCCTGCATATTTAGTGCAGTGCACTTAAGAATCCTTTTAATTCTTTAAAGGAAACCTCATCAATGGATAAAATCAAATGAATTACTACGTTTACGTCTAGATTTAAAGAGTGTTATAATCAATAGTTCTTGCTGTATCGTCGATTACAGTTCTTTCATTAAACAGAACACTATTGTAAAGTGCGTACATCCATTAAATCATTTACTTATACATCCAATATTTTTTTTACTAGTCCTTCCTAAATTACTGTATAAGTGGAGCATAGCATTAAGAGAAATCTCGAAACTAAAGTTTAGTGAGCAACTCAGTCATACGAAAAAGTGGTATCTGTAGAAAACATTTTACAGTAAATAGACGGCTCTAAATAATAGATGGGAAATGCTCGCCTGGTGGGCAACCGATCTTCTTCAGTAGGATTTCCATCGCCATTTCGCTTATTGGAGGATAAAGCGATTCATTCAGTCGAGGATCGCGTTGAAAAGTCTGCAGTACGCGGAGAAACTTCTTCCGAGAAATCGATTTCTTTCCGTTATCACATCTGAAATTTCTGGAAACTTCCTGGATCCGGAGAATCGTCGGTAATCAACGTCAAAGCACAGATTTCGAGTTTTCTAAGCCAATTTTATAGACGACCGATAGGTCGAGGTTGATGGCAAGTAGATGTATTGTTCATTTTTATCTCGCAATTATTCAAGTCCTTTCTTCTACTTCTTTTCGTCTCACTTTGCTTTTCCATCGATTGCTCACCTTCACGAAAAAATTCGGGGAATAACCGAAGTTTTTTAGAGTGAATAGTATGAGCTTATTCGTGTTGCCGCGCTAAGCACAAAATAATTATACTACACATTTGTGACAACGTGGACTTATTCCAGTGAACTTTTCTCACTAAGTTATTTCCTGAGAAGTTTTTCGCTATGTTTTTTATATCCATTTGTAGGTTGCTTTACCGGCGCGTTCTGAAAAGTGCTACTAGACTATTTCGAAACCGACTTTCCTTGAACCTCGGTGTGACTAATCAATATGTATTCTTTCTTGATAAGCTTGCACGAGGTTGATGAATATATTTATTTTCGGCTAACGTTTCGACGTTTTCGTCTTCCTCAGAGCCAATGATCCGAGTCGATGGTCCATGCAAAACACCGACTTCTGGACGATGTGCGCAATGATGTCCGGAAGAAATACAAGTTGTTACCACCGCACATTATCATTATACATACACCATCAGCATGGTGTATAAAATGCCATCACTGAGTAAGGATGCCTCATTCGAGAAGATGGATCACTGAGGAAGACCTGGCTCGACACGAAGGCGAAGCTGCAACGTCGAGACGAACAACAAGCATGGACCATCGACTCGGATCATCGACTCTGAGGAAGACGAAGACGTCGAAACGTTAGCCGAAAATAAATATATTTATCAGCCTCGTGCAAGCTTATCAAGAAAGAATACATATTGCTACTAGACTGTTGGTGACGGAGTGTGAGAAGGGTTGAATGGTAGTGTGGCTGACTAATGTACCACGAATGAGAAACAAGCAAATAGAGGAATCTATACAGTTCTTCGAAAACTGACTTCAATCGTCACGCTTCACCCATTGACGTAACTGTTTCCACAAGTTGTCTCTATGGAACAAATACAAGAGTTCGATTCCAACAGCGATTACCTGTATTTTGCACCCACAGGGTAAGAAAAAACTTGCTGATAAAGAGAGAACTTGTTATGCTTCTGAAGGATACGAGGAAAGAGAACAGTTGATGCATATTGAGTGCAATGCACTTCACAACAGATCAACAGCATTTTAAAACACTCGCATTCGGTCGCGAATGGTTTAAAATATTGCGTGTGAATGAAAGTGGTGTAAACCTAACAGAAACGTGCAGAACAAAACCACAGCGGAAGAAATCCTTTGGAGACCACAATGACGTTTGCTGTATGAAAGTGTGCTGAAGCCTACGAGCCATAGGCTAACAACAAAGAGGAAAAATACTGAAAATTTCGTGAAAATGAAAATCGATTAGTCTAAAAATATTTACGCAAACTCATTGCGTTGCCAATTTTACTCCATTTCAAATAGTACTAAAAAGTAGTCTTGAGGCAAACAAAGGAGCGCTTACAGTTCTTCAAACACTGATTTCAATCCTCGCGCTTCACCCATTGACAAAATTGTCTCCACAAGGCTTCTATCACTCATTTTACTTTTGATATACGTATTTCCCTGAAAATATAAAGGTACATGGAGAGTTCTCCACTCGCAATTAAAACTGAAACTAGTACATTTTTGAAAATGAAAAAGCATTTCCGGCTTATTTTAGCTGAATCAATAATTAAAAACAAAAAAATATTCAAAAATACTAGCAATAACCAGCAATTCCAAACTTTAACTAAAAGTTTTCATCTCCCATGGTTTAATGCCTTACAGTGGCTAGTAGGGTTGATGGGTGCTTGTCTTTCCTTTTTTAGAATCAGAGGTTCATCGCTGGATAGTCTTTAGCATTTACATGAGACAGTTCC